TTCGCCATCCTAAGCACCATACAGCTACTTGTCTCTTTGACGAATAGCTGTATAGTGCTTAGGATGGCGATACTCACTGACGATGCCGACTACGATGCCGGCAAAACGTTTGGGAATGTTCCACGTCCACGGTTCAACTTTGGAAATGATCATGCAGACAACCCCCGGACTAGGTGCGTTCCAATAAGTCTTCCTACCAATATGACCATGTTGCGAAAACAAGGTCAAACAATCTCGTTCCAATAAGTCTTTCTACCAATATGACCATGTTGCGAAAACAAGGTCAAACAACCTCTAAATCCAAAGAAGCCGAAAAATAAATAGATGGAAGTTAATTAAGATACAACACTTACTATTCAGTGAACATATTCTGGCAGGTCCAGAGGGCCTCATATAGAAGAAAACGATTAGGATCAGACGAGGTATCATTTTCTGTGACATAGAGACAAGAACCAAATTTCTCCTCTAGCTGCTTAGCTGTCAGCTTGCAGAGGCGTTCAATCTCAAGAATTCGACCGGAATCTGGAATATCTAGCTTCTTTGATGCAAATAAGAAGTGCATAAAGATAAAATTGTAGCATCGCGTGGTATATTAATGAATGCACTAATATTCAAAAGTGTATAAAGGTATGCAGATATGCGATGCATTCGGACTTATTGAACTACCTAGGCATGACAGCTAGGGTAGATACACAAGTATTGTTTTATCTTATGCAATGGTCTTTGATAACAGAACTATTTACCCGGGCTTAATGAAAAATAATCATCATTCGAGCATAAAGTGCACCTGAGTGTCTACACTGTGGAGAAAGAATAAGAAGTTTTATTTTTGATGTTATTTTCTTTGAGGACAATAAACCGAAGCCTATACGGGCAGATGCGCATCATTTTGAAAAAATTTCAACGCGAAATTCGGCTCTTACCAGAGTTTCTAAATGTATTATTTAGGGAAGCAAGGTATCTGAGGTCTTAGGGAAACTGGCTCGCAACTGCTATTAATTGCTTGTTGAAGAAATTGATATTGTTCGAGACCTAAAAATCAAGAGCAAGCATAAGAATACATGGAAACAATAGTAATAGTATATTAGTTCTGGCATTTGACTATTTGAGCTTTATTGGCCCAACTATCGTTGGAACAGATAGCAATATACATGAATACAAGTGCTGAATAGAATAATAGATAGGTCGACCTAGCTAGTCTTGAAATCGTACTCAATATGTATTCCAAAATCTTGTTGTTTAATCGGCCACTATAAATGATCCAAGCTAAGATCTCCTTAATTAACATGAAATGCAGATAAAGTATTCCTGTGAAGAGGTACTTAAATTGATTAAAGTATGTCTGCCCTAGCACCAAAACTAAGCAGTGATGTACTCCAGAGTGAAAAAATCCAAGTGGCTTCATTGCAAAATGCAATAAGAAAGTTCGTCTAATAAATGAGACCCAGGTGCAATATTTACAACAAAAGTCAGAGGGCATAGGCTCTAATGGCATCCTTGAAAATAGAATGCCCCAACCAGAAATTGATCGGGCTTTATCAAAGATATGAAGACCAGGATGGTGTGGCCTTTGTATAATCGTGGTATCCTTTCGTTATATAAAAGTGGTTTGATCTTGTTTTCGCAACTTTGTCATATTGGCAGGAAGACCTAGAGGAACGTACATTGTCCTTAGTCCATACTATGCATGACACTTTCCAGAGTCGAACGGTGGACTTAGTACATTCCCAGACATTTCGCCGGGATCGTCAATGAGCCTTGTCAATCTTAGCACCACACTACAACTCGTCATAGAGACAAGTGAAGTCGATCCTTCAAACCATTGTATGCTAATCAGTTGTGGTATCTCTCCTTCTCTCTTGGGTTATTTACATATCCTATATCCTCTTATCACTCCTTCAATACCACAATTTCTTACTTGTTTATCTAAACCTAGTTGAAGCCTATTCACACTCCTCGCTGTTTCTCACATCCTCCCCACCGGATTAAACCGCAGCCTTGGATCAACACTCCCGCACGGTGAGAGGGATGTAGAAAACAGCGGGGAGTGTGAAAAGGTTTCGATAAACAAGTAAGAAATTGTGATATTGAAGGGGTGATACGAAGATATAGGATATGTGAAAAGCCTAGGACAGAAGGAGAGATACCATAACTGTTTAGCATACAATTGGTCAAAGGATCGACTTCACTTATCTCTTTGACGAGTTGTAGTACGAAATGACAAGGTTCACTGACGATGCCGGCAAAACATCTGGGAATTCACTAAGTCCACAGTGCGACTCTGGAAATTATCATACATACTATAGACTCCGGACAAGGTGCGCTTCTCTAGGTCTTCCTGCCGATATGACCAAGTTGCGAAAACAAGGTCAAACAACTTATATAATAGAGCTTTAGTAGACACCTGGATCCTTCCTAAATTCACCTTATGATTTTTGATGGATGAATCAGATGCAGTTAAGAGTAATACTGGTATACCTTTCATTTCGTTTGAAAAGGCGAATGAAAGGGATTAATTAATTGGCAGCATCCGATACCGGAGGGTTGCCTTAAATTTTTAACTGTTAAATTGTGCGAAGACCTCAGTCCCAAACCAGACTCTAGGGTAGCCAAGTATTTTCCTCTTGCTTAGTGGTTCTTCATTTTCCCTCTTTTTCTCTATCCCTCTCTCTCGATCTAATTCTATCCAGCAGTTAGAGATAGTTCTTTTTTAGTTTCCTACACTCGTTCCTCTTATTCGGGATGTTCTTTGTTATGTTAATTTAAATCGACCCCCTGATTTTTCGTCTAGCTGTGAAGTCCCCATATATTTCAAGGCATTTAGTTTTATACAAATTTAACAGGTGCCCTGTATTAATCAAATCTTTAGCCACTCCCAATTTCTGAATCCATAAACCTTTGCGAGCGGTTTTGTGTTCCGATAGCCTATGCATAGGTCGACAAGTCTCTCCTACATTGACACTACCGAATGAGCACAAAACCTTATAACAGCCTGATCTGCAGAGCGAGTCCGAAGACCCTTTAAAAG